GGCAACAGGCAACGCCCCCATTACATTGTTGAATCTTAATTAATGGCTCAGATTTTGGCTCCTTGTTCCGGGATTGTCTCAGGAAAGGCGGGTTAATATACGGCTAATATACAGCATTACCGGATACATTAAAATGTATTTAATAAATTCGGTTTAGCGGTACCTATTATGTTGACAACTAATAATGTTTTAGGTAGAAAATATGAAAAACTATTAAAAAATTTGGTAACCGGTAAACTTTGGTTATCGGTAAGTATCTATCATTTTTATAAAAGTGTCCATACGTTTAACATATCAAGTAAATTTTACGGTTTTGTCATAATGAATCTGGTTTGTCATTTTTACATGTTATATTGTAAATTATCTATCCTTTTATAAAAGTGTCCATACTTATTTCACTGTGAAAATATATTTATTATTATCTTTAGTTAATATTGTTAAATTTAAAATCTAAATAATATTTTATAAAATATCAAAACAATCAAATAATTTTTTGTGTAAATTAAATTATTAAATTAATATTGTAGGTGGAAAACATGAAACACTATTAAAAAAATTGAAACATAAATTACATAACTTTCAAAAAAGATATATCATTTTTATAAAAGTGTCCATACTTATTTCTGTTGAAAAATATTTATTAAATTATTTGGTTAATATTGTTAAATTTAAATTCTAAATAATATTTTAAAATATCAAAACAATCAAATAAAATTTTGTGTAAATTAAATTATTAAATTAATATTGTAGGTGGAAAACATGAAACACTATTAAATAAATTGAAACATAAATTACATAACTTTAAAAGCAGTTTTAAATCCTAAAAAGTGTCGATACTTTTAAAAAAATATCGATCCAAAACGATATACCAGGTAAAAATATGATAAAACCGGTAACAAAATGATAAAACCGGTAAATTTAAAAGTGTCGATACGTTATATAAGGATCGACACTTTGTGAATTTAAAAGAGAAGCAGTTATAGCGCCTATAATGTGTCGATACTTTTAAAAAAAATATCGATCCACAACGATATAACAGGTAAAAATATGATAAAAACGGTAACAAAATGATAAAACCGGTAAAATGATACGGATATATTGAAAGTGTCGATACTTTCGTAGTAGTGTAATAAATATCGACACTTTCAAAGAAATAGGTAATTATCCTTTCGAAAGTATCGACACCTGACATAAAAGTATCGACACTTTTGTATTTGTATCGATTAAATATAAATAACATATCCAATGAAAATATAAAGGCCATAGCTAAATATCCTCTGAAAAAAGATAGAACGGACGAGTTTTTGAAATCGAAGAGTAATTGTTGCTGCATTTCAGAAGGCGTTTCTAAAGCGAAGTTTGTTTGTTTGTTGCTGCAGTCGAATCGAAAAGTATGTTGTCGAAACCCTAATTTTTTATTATTACAGTAATCGCGATAGGGTTTTTTATGTGTTGTTTGGGGTTTTGGGAGTAGGAAGCATTTGGGACCCGATTGCAGGTAGAATAGATATTCAAGGAAAAATATAAATGTCGATACTTTTATTAAATATTATAGGTAGAAAATGATATTATAGGTTGTATAAATGTGCCGACACATTTTGGTATGGCCATTCAAATTCTTTTGAAGAAAACCGTTTTACCACAAGAGTAGTTATCTATATTTGTATATTGAAAAGTGTATGTAACAAAATAATTTGATTTGCGTAAACTGATATATGAAGGAAAAATGGAGTCAATGGGTTGGAAAATTGTTGGTGGAGCAGATGACTTTGAAATTGAGGCCGAGACTCGAAAGCAACCAAAGGCCGAGACTTTGAAATTGTTGGTGTATGTAACAAAATATTTTTTTTCCAGAATGAATTAAAAACAAGGTGCACCCATAAAGTGTCGATCCATATATAAAAAGTGTCGATCCCAAAATCATCGAACCCAAAAGTATAATGTAATAAGTAATTTTTCAATCTAACGGTACAATTATACCGGTTTTATGAGAGAATATCTAATAATGTGTCGACACTAATATAGTTTGTGTCGATATTTTTTTTCCAGAATGAATTAAAAACAAGGTGCACCCATAAAGTGTCGATCCATATATAAAAAGTGTCGATCCCAAAATCATCGAACCCAAAAGTATAATGTAATATGTAATTTTTCAATCTAACCGGTACAATTATACCGGTTTTATGAGAGAATATGTCTAAATAATGTGTCGACACTAATATAGTTTGTGTCGATATTTTTTTTCCAGAATGAATTAAAAACAAGGTGCACCCATAAAGTGTCGATCCATATAAAAGTGTCGATCCCAAAATCATCGAACCCAAAAGTATAATGTAATATGTAATTTTCAATCTAACCGGTACAATTATACCGGTTTTATGAGAGAATATGTCTAAATAATGTGTCGACACTAATAGTTTGTGTCGATATTTTTTTTCCAGAATGAATTAAAAACAAGGTTGCACCCATAAAGTGTCGATCCATATATAAAAAGTGTCGATCCCAAAATCATCGAACCCAAAAGTATAATGTAATATGTAATTTTTCAATCTAACCGGTACAATTATACCAGTTTTATGAGAGAATATGTCTAAATAATGTGTCGACACTAATATAGTTTGTGTCGATATTTTTTTTCCAGAATGAATTAAAAACAAGGTGCACCCATAAAGTGCCGATCCATATATAAAAAGTGTCGATCCCAAAATCATCGAACCAAAAGTATAATGTAATAAGTAATTTTCAATCTAACCGGTACAATTATACCGGTTTTATGAGAGAATATGTCTAAATAATGTGTCGACACTAATATAGTTTGTGTCGATATTTTTTTTCCAGAATGAATTAAAAACAGGGTGCACCCATAAAGTGTCGATCCATATATAAAAAGTGTCGATCCCAAAATCATCGAACCCAAAAGTATAATGTAATATGTAATTTTCAATCTAACCGGTACAATTATACCGGTTTTATGAGAGAGAATATGTCTAAATAATGTGTCGACACTAATATAGTTTGTGTCGATATTTTTTTTCCAGAATGAATTAAAAACAAGGTGCACCCATAAATTTTGTTGTGCAAGTTCAGTGCTCCAGGAGTTGATGGATATGTAAACAAAGGTTCATTTTGAACATGTTTCTGTCGTGCTGCTTTCAATAGGATGTGGCATTGGTAGTGGTAGTTAAAGGGTGGGTACAACATTAAATTCATAGTACATATTTAGGTATGTACAATAACTACAAGTATATTATCATTAAATTTAGGTATGTACAATAACTACATATTTAGGTGTTAACTAATATTTAGGTATATACATCTTTTGAGTGAGTTTTAAGATATTAATTTAGTAATTATAGGTCTAATGATTTATTTTTACGTTACGGTATATATTATTATTAAATTAAAAATTCTAAATAATATTTTATAAAATATCAAAACAATCAACTAATTTTTTTGTGCAAATGAAATTATTAAATCAATATTGTAGGTGGAAAACATGAAACACTGTTAAAAAAATTGAAACATAAATTACATAACTTTTAAAAAAAGTATCGATCCTTTTTATAAAAAGTATGGACACTTTCAATATAATAGGTAAACATATGATGTAATAGGTAGCCCTTATATAATGTAATAGGTATCGTTTATATAATGTAATAGGTAGGGTTAGATTGTAAAGTGTCTGCCTTTTTATAAAAGTGTCCATACTTTTTTAGCCCTTATATAATGTAATAGGTATCGTTATATAATGTAATAGGTAGTGGTTATATTGTAAAGTGTCTATCCTTTTATAAAAGTGTCCATACTTTTTCACTGTGGAAAACATTAATTTAAGGTTATCTTTTGAGTGAGTTTTAAGATATTAATTTAGTAATTATAGGCGTCTAATGATTTATTTTTTACGTTACGATATATATTATTATTAAATTAAAAATTCTAAATATTATTTTATAAAATATCAAAACAATCAAATAATTTTTTGTGCAAATGAAATTATTAAATTAATATTGTAGGTGGAAAACATGAAACACTGTTAAAAAAATTGAAACATAAATTACATAACTTTTAAAAAAAGTATCGATCTTTTTTATAAAAAGTATGGACACTTTCAATATAATAGGTAAACATATGATGTAATAGGTAGCCCTTATATAATGTAATATGTATCGTTTATATAATGTAATAGGTAGTGGTTATATTGTAAAATGTCTATCCTTTTTATAAAAGTGTCCATACTTTTTTCACTGTGGAAAACATTAATTTAAGGTTATCTTTTGAGTGAGTTTTAAGATATTAATTTAGTAATTATAGCGTCTAATGATTTATTTTTTACGTTACGATATATTATTATTAAATTAAAATTCTAAATATTATTTTATAAATATCAAAACAATCAATAATTTTTTGTGCAAATGAAATTATTAAATTAATATTGTAGGTGGAAAACATGAAACACTGTTAAAGTATCGATCCTTTTTATAAAAAGTATGGACACTTTCAATATAATATAATGTAATAGGTAAATTTGTAATGCTATCGGTATAAATATACCGGTTTACTTATAAAATAGGTAAATATAAGCGCTATCTATTACATTATATAAGCGATACCTAGTATGTTATTGTATTTTATAATATTTTCGGTTAAATAATATAACATAACCGGTCTAAATTTTAACCGGTCACTTATTTAACCGGTCACGTCGTATATTAACCGTTTTTTAGGCGCCGCACCGCATAACTACCCCTTGTTCCTTAATTTTTTTAGTTTAAAATCAACCAGGAAAATGGGGTTGCTTCTTCTGGCAAACGGCTTATTTAAACATCTCCATTCTTTCCATGCAAAAACACTGCTTCGCTTCCCAGTTCCCACCTTTCAGCGTAGCATTTTAAAAGAAGAAAAGTTCTGGAATTTATATTTTCTTCTTAAATCTTTGAATAGTGAATTGGTTTTGTTCCTTTTTTTCTCGTGTTGAAAAAAATCGAGACTTTGGAGAAAAATAGTCCCAGTACCGTGAGATTTTTAAATTGATTATTTGATCTTACTTATATTGTCTTCTTGTGATGTGTAAATGACAAATTTTGATCATGATTTGTTTATGCATCTGTGCCTTGTGTGGGGGGGGGTGTTAGGTGTAGGTGTTTAAAGTTGCCAAATGTTCCGCCTTTTTTCTGTTTATATCTGTAATCCTTAGGGTTCCAATGTCAGTTTTTTTGCAGCAGTAATTTGGTTTTGGGCACACAAAATTAAGGGTCTTTAGATCTGAGCTGTAATTGTCAGCAACGACTAGGATTTTTTTTAGGTTTGGTTGTTGAGTCTCTCTGGTTTAAGTTCACCAGATCAGAGTTTTGTCCCAAGATAAGTGCCCTTAATGAACTTCTCAGTCTGATCTCTGTGCTTTTAAATTCTGTCGGCATTTCGGTGTTTATAAGAATTCTAGAGAATTTTTTTTTTGGGGGGGGGGTTAGATCCAAGAATCCTGGAGTCAAAAAGGGAGAACCTTTGGGAGGAAATTTGGGGTTTTGATTTCGAAAATGGGACATTCTGCTGCAGTATGGGATTATAGGGCTGCAACTGAGATCACAAAGGATTGGAATGGGATCGATAGTATTGTTCTTCGGAACCCTCGAGGCGCTTCGGCAAGGGTTGGATTTATGATTTGTTCTTTTTTCCTTTTACTGTTGATTTCAGATTTATTTTTGTGTTAATTTTGAGTTTTAATGTTACAGGTTAGCTTACATGGAGGACAGGTAACTTCATGGAGGAATGAACAAGGGGAGGAGCTTCTGTTTACAAGTAGTAAGGTAGGGGAAGGCTTAAAGGATGTTTAATTTCTATACAAGTTATATGAGATGCCGATTCGAGTTATGGATTCGTGTTCTTTGTAATGAGTTTTAGGCGATTTTTAAGCCCCCGAAAGCTGTTCGAGGAGGGATCCCTATTTGTTTCCCGCAGGTAGTCTTCATTCTTAGTCATTTAGTAAATTCAGCTATGTGGATTTTTATTCATGGTTGCTTATTGGATGCTCGTTAAGTTCGGTAACTGCGGATCGCTCAAGCAACATGGATTTGCTAGGAACAAGATTTGGACAGTTGACGAAAATCCTCCACCTCTTAGTCCGAGTGATTCCCATGGCAAATCCTTCGTTGACCTGTTGCTTAAACCATCTGAAGAAGATCTAAGATGTTGGCCCCATAGGTAAGAACTCGGATGTTTACATCCTTTCTCGATTTATGACATCAACTGATATGTTTGAGATTGCAAGTTGTCCGGCGACTGCATCAATTACCGTCACCTGTTTAAGTATACAAGTTGCTTATACGTTGCCGATAAGACTTTTCTTTATCCCTTTCAGTTTTGAGTTTCGCCTGAGAGTATCACTTGCAGCAGATGGAAGCCTGACATTAATATCACGAATCAGGAATGTCAACGGGAAGCCATTTAGTTTCTCTTTTGCGTATAATACATATTTGTCGGTATCCGACATCAGGTATGTATTGTGTTTTTGCTGGAAATCTCGATATCGTATTAACCAACAATTGCCCTTTTGGATCGAATAGAAGTTAAAGTTTGAATTGGATGTTGCATGAACATGAACTGTGTCCACAGTGAAGTGAGGATAGAAGGGCTGGAGACTCTCGACTACCTAGACAATCTTTGCCATAAAGAACGTTTTACCGAGCAAGGAGATGCTATAACATTCGAATCCGAGGTACACAAGTTGTACTGTTACTTTGAAGTGTCCAATTATGCATGTTTGTGGTCACGGGGGGTACTAACACCGGTTATTGGATTAGGGAAAATAAAAACCGTTCCAATTTTGAGATTGCAGTTCGGGCATTAGGACTTTGTTCATGTTGACATCGGGATACAAAAACTATTATGCTTGAAAGCAATTTGTCCGACGAAAGTGCTGCAACACGAGCTTAACGTTCTTCTGTGTGACAGGTAGATCGAGTTTATCTTAGTACTCCGAAGGTAGTCGCTGTACTTGACCACGAAAGGAAACGAACGTATGTTATCAGGAAGGAGGGACTGCCCGATGTCGGTATGCTCGAGTACTTTAAGGATGTTTTTATAGTGTATGCTCAGTCTGTTCTGTAAACAAATAACATAAAGATTGTGTTGTGAACAGTGGTATGGAATCCGTGGGAGAAGCAATCGAAATCAATGGCAGATTTCGGAGACGAGGAGTACAAACAGATGCTATGCGTCAACGGAGCAGCGATCGAGAAGCCCGTGACATTGAAACCCGGTGAGGAGTGGACGGGGCGGCTAGAACTGTCGGTTGTAGCATCGACATTGAGTTCCGAACATATTGATCTGCAGCAGACAAGCAATGGGTTTTGATGTAGGAATATAGTTCGATGTTAAAGTAAGAAAAGCAAGTTTATGCTTTTACGTTGGCATTGAGTTGAGCGTAGAGTAGCAAGTGGAAGAGAGGGAAAGACCGAAAACGATGGATCAGAGGTGAAACTGTCACAATAGAGATATGACTAAAATTTGAATCGCATACATCTTGATCAGATACATGATTTGGACACGGTGATGGTCCCAGCGCGCATTAACGGTTCCCTGCGCCCACATACAGACAAAACAGTATCTCAAATGGGTTTAGTAATCTAATTGAAGATCTGATAAGACAATAAGAACTAAAATTTACAATTTTTCAAACAAAAATAAGATTTTAAATTAAAATAATTTTAAAAAAAAGAATGTTTGAATTCAAAACTTTTAAGTTTTTAAGAATTTATCCTAGTATTTAGACAGAAGGAAAAAAACGTTAGATCCTCATTGATGTGCAATTAGACATTTATGCACTGGTACGAACCAAACGACTTTAGTGATAAAAGAATTATTGTAATTTTTTGAAGTTTCAGGTTTAAGTAAAGGGTGTGAGCTTTCAGTGTCAAATGATAGAAAGTTATCTATAAATAAATATTATATTATATTCTCATTAGATTAATAAAAAAATTACATTTATACACTTAAATAAGAATAAAATAAAAATTTTAAATATAAAATGTCTCTTAATTTTTTTTTAAAAATGATAATAAATGAATTGTTTTTTTAATACAAAAGAGATAAATCGATTTAAAAGATGCGAAAATCTAAATTTTTATTAAATATAAATATAAGAGGTTTGTACACTCCCCCACCCACATTGAAATTGCGCTGATTGTCATGAAAATCACGACTAAGTGTTGCCAAATTTCTAGGTTTTTGTTATTTTTTCTGACGATTTGGTCAACTATAGCCGTTCATACATTACACGGCCATCACTGTTGAGTTTCTCGTCCTGCTCCGGACAAACCAGACTGGTGGTGACCCTTTTCCGTCGGCGGTGGGTGGATTTATTTATTTTTATTCTTTCTTTTTTAAAATAATATTTTTATTATTAAAAAAATAAAAATATAATTGTAAGAATCTAAAAGTGTAATATAGAAAACTTAAATTAAATATAATTATAAATAATCAATAAAAATATTAAATTTTTATAATTTTTAAAAAGATTCATATTAAACAAGTGAAAAAATTTACTGTACAATATTATTATACTTAAATTGTTATATTTAACTTAAAATTTTAACTTAAAAACTTAAATTAAGTATAATAAATTATTAAATTATTATATTAAATAATAATAAATTATAAATAATACTTTAAATCTTTCAATGTTATTTAGTTTAAACACTAGTTAAATAATAATATATAAATAACATATATCTAATATATAAGATATATAATATTATTCTTAATAATATTATAAGAAATATAGATTCACTAAAACAGATAGTATATTTTAAATTCTAGAAGTTAAATTGAGATATTTCAATGTGTTGAAAAGATAACTAACAATCAATCATGTTATAAGAAAATATATTGTTCCAAAAATATCTAAATTTGATCCCAAAAAAATCCATCACATATCATCGGATGTTCCAACCTTCAACAACAACCGTAATTTCTAACAAAAAATAATTGATTTTTGATCCCAAAAAAATCCATCACATATCATCGGATGTTCCAACCTTCAACAACAACCGTAATTTCTAACAAAAAATAATTGATTTTACTCCCATGCATCACGTACACGTGGATTTGTCGTTATTAGTTAGTACGCCTGATTTAATTAGTTTCTAATTACACATCGTTTGGCTTTATAAAATATCTGGCCTCCTCTACCAATTACAAAACCAATCTGCTTGGAAGCTAGTGATCACGTTTATGGATACGTGTGTCCAAAATTCAATAACCCATTGATTTAACTCTTAAGTTGGACATGAATTCATCATATTAGCCAACATTTTTCAAAGTACACATACATGGTCATAGAAGTGCATTTGAATGAACATTAACAAAATCACTAATATTTTATTACCCTCAATAATTAACTTTTAAATAAATTTTTTAATGAAGATTGATAGATGAAGTTAAAAACAATCAAATACATATTTTTTCCTTACACTGCTGCTTATATAAATTTATAGGCCCAGGCGGTATTCCAGTAATGCCTGCAAATAATACTTAAACTGATGTTGCTAGGCATGATTATCATGCAAATCATGAACAAGAAAGTTTCAGGTACTTTCAAAACAAATGGAGGACTTGGCAGATAAAAGAAAGCTAACAACGGTCCCTACTTCTCTAATGTAGTTTGCTACGGCCTTGCAGCCTTCGATCGCGAAGCCCATCACATTTTCGAAGATATCCACAGGTAATTTAGCATCCATCTGTATCAAAGTGATGGTACTCATTGCCTTGAAACTATCTATCAACTAGTTTTTGAGAGCTAAACAATCTTTGATGTTTAATACAAATCATTTTGCCCAGTCTAGGGCCTCAAGTAAACCAATGGGTAAGACGGGAAAGCGCAAGATAGGCAAAGTTAAGTCTCACTCATTTATATTAAATGAAAATGGACTGTGGGTATTTAAATTGCACAGCCGTAGGTTACGAAAAACGACTAGATAGCAACATCTACGTATATTGCCACGGGAAAAAAAAGGGAAGCCCGAGATATCTTTCGAAATAAAAGCCTGAAAATGTGAATGAGAAATTGCGGTTCATTGCAGACCCGAAGAAGAGTCACTTTATACAACTTAGGCAAGATCCCTACGGTGACATCGGCACCTCCAGTGCTGTCTTCAATGTAGTTCAAATCTACATATACCACATACACTAATCTAATTGTTCAAATGGAAATAAAGAGAGAAATTAATACTAGTGTTAGAAGAAGAATTGACCTAGCAGAGGAGTGCTATTTAGATACCCAGCACTACAAGAAGTGACAATATCAAGCATGGGATCCCGGCATCTGCAAGGGCTAAAGTTGCAGCATTGATACATGCTGATCTAGTTCCTGCAGACACATTTAATCTGCTACTTATGCTTCCTTTTCCTTTTATACCAAAATAAACAAGTAATAGAATAAACAGATGCAAAAACAACTAGCGAATAAGCAAGAGTGCAAAATTTATTAATTTTTAAAAGAAAGAGCAGCGTAATTCAGTAAAAATAGAATCAAAACGCAAAACACCGTGGATTCATGAAACCGAGCCATTAGAAAAGATGTTTTTGATCAGAGTGGAGCATAAAGTTGCAGTTGCATGATATGAAATGTAAATCGAATAAACTAGAAGTCTGGAAAAGTTTCAATTGTATGAAGGATGGCACACAACTTTAACATCATTCTAAGAATGAATGAAATTGGAAAATAGATCAACTGTCACCCTTTGGTTTTCTCATGCGATCTCCGGTACTGAAATTAGCACAACTATATTGACAGCGCACCTGGTGTTCATCACATAAAACAAACCCAAAAATTCTATGAAGTCGCAAGTACGAAAATTAGACATACAACTCAAAGAACATTACCAGTGCCTGGTCATGAAGCTGTTGGCTCCTATTTTGCACCTGGAAAACATAGACTGCTTTTATCAACTATAACAAACCCACATCGAGTTAGATAGGTATCCAAATTCAGAAAACAAAAGAAATCCCAATGCATGCTCGGTCAGTGACAAAGTAAACAGTAACAATGTGAAGATGCCATGAAAGTAAAAGGTTACCTCTCTAGGGCCGGACACTGCTGCAATGACTTTGGTGTTGCCCATCTCAAAAATAGCAGAACTGAATATTCAAAATCAAAGGAAACAGTATATTAAGGCTGCAGACCATTTCCTTAGAAAAAGTGCTAGGGGAAACGAATTGTAAAGGTGGCGCCTACCCATTAGCCCTGGAGACGGTACTAATCTCTGCACGAAGTTGTCCCACCTCAGAAGGAGATGGAAATTCAAAAGAAAGAAAAGGGTCTAAGAATTAAAATAAAAATGAAGAGAGAGAAAAGAAGAAAATTTCCATGGGACGGCGACCGTCCAACCGGAGACCTTCGGGGCTCACGAACTTCGCCTACAACAACTCAATTGATGGTGATGAACAGGTGTTGCGCCCGGATTTTCCCCTAGATTGACTAAAACCTCCAGGGTTTTAGTTCACTGGAACTGGCTTTGCGGGTTTGGGCCTAATAGAGTAAACCTAATCCCAGTAACTCATTGACTCGCGAATGGCATAGCAAATTTATTTAATAATGATTATTTTATATATATATATATATATGGATAATTTGTCTTTTTATTACCCAATGAAGTAGAGTCTGTTACAAAAAATACCAATCACAAGACATTATATACAATCTACATACAAAACAGAAGATCGGTTTTTAAGCTATACCCCATGAAATACAAAGGTTAGAATTTACTCTATCAAACCTATTAATGTTTTCCCGTGAGTTTAAAACCTACAAGTTCTTTGATGCAAGTTAGAAGGTCTTCGTTGGTTCGGGAGCATCCTTTGAAAATTCTTCGGTTGCGTTCCTCCCACAAAATATAGATAAAGGCACACCAAGCAAGTTTAAGAATAGTAGAAATGAGGGACTTGCCTTTCCAAGAATTGCATGCCCAAATTAACAAGTCCTCCCATGATGAGCAGGACTTCTTAATCCTGTTAAGAAGCAAAATTTTGTCCCATAAATATGAGGCAGTGGGGCATTCAAAGAACAAGTGATTTCGAGATTCCATTGATTCATTACAAAGCACACAATTCCTATTTGTGATAATACCCATGCGTTGAAGTCGATCTCGAGTGGGCAATCTGTCGAGAATTGCCATCCAAGCAAGCAAAATGTGTTTAGGAATATGTTGAGGGAACCATATCAGGGAGTGCCAGGAAACTTTGCCTTCCTTCACCCTAATCTCCTGCCATATATCCTTGATAGGAAGAGCCCCATTCGAAATTGATGTAATTGCTTCAGTGCGTAATTTGAGAATTCAGTTAAAGCTCCAACTTAATCTAGCATTTCCTTCCATGTGCCACAGATTGATATCCTTTAAAACATAAGTGTTGATCCAAGCAACCCATAATGAACCCTCTCCAGCAAGGATATTCTTTATGAGTTTGATCATGCAAGCTTTATTTCATGTTTTTAAGTTCTTCAATCCAAGTCCTCCCTCTGATTTCAATTGACAGATTTTGACCCAGCTGACTCTTGCGCCCGTGGCAGACTTGTCTGAACCTTTACAGAAGAACCGAGAGCAAATCTATTCAATTTTACTGATTATTGATTGGGGAAGAAGAAGTTGCCTACACCAGTAATCAGCAATGTTGAACAGAACAGCTCTTATGAGTTCCAATCTTCCAGCGTAGCTCAGATTTTTTTCAGACCAAAGAGTGAGCCTAGCTTTAATATTTGCAATAAGAGCTTCGCAATATTTCTCAGAGAGTTTTCTAGTAATCAGTGGAACACCGAGGTATCTTACAGGTAAGCATCCATATTTAAAACTAGTTGATTGATGTATAAGCTCAATGTTACTAGTTGAAATTCCAGCAGCGAAGAAAACACATTTGGCAGTATTTAAATTCATACTAGACATTTCATAGAAGTGTTCAAGAACATAAATGACTAAAATTACAGATTCAACATTACCCTTACAAGATCAACAAGTCATCAGCAAAGGATAAGTGTGTGAGCCCTATTTTCTTGCACTTAGGATGATAACTGTATAGACCTCTAGCAGCAGCCAAATTGAGCATTCTAGAAAGGATATTCATAGAAATTACAAAGAGAATAGGTGAAAGAGGGTCACCTTGTCTAATACCTCTAGCTCCCTTGAAGTATCCAATTAGGCTCCCATTGAAGGATAATGAGAATCTAGCTTCTGAGAAGCAAGCTTCAATCCAATCTATAAATCTTTGAGGAAGATCCAAAGCTTTCAGAACATCAGATAAAAAATCCCAATGAAGAGTGTCAAATGCCTTTTGGAGATCAATCTTCAAAGAACATCTTGAAGAGATGATTTTCCTTCCATAAACTTTAACCAATTCCTGAGCAAGAAGGGTATTGTCTACAATGTTTGTTCCTTTAATGAAAGCAGTTTGGTTTAGTTATCATTATATCAACTCTAATTTTAAATCTTAATCTCCACTGTTTTTTTACGTAGTTATGAAATGTTCTCTAGGTCATGGAGTTGGTGCAATTGGCTATGTTAGTATATTCTTTGTTTCAGATTGAATTCTTATACGTAAAACTACATGAACAAACTTTGTTTTCGACCCTGGGGTATCATTAGCAACAACGCCATCGTTCTTGCAACAACGTTCCATCCACAATACATTCTCAAATATCTGAGTTTACTGAAATTTATCATATCTGAGTTTTGTTTATTGAAATTTATCAATGCTGATGGGGTTGCTTGGTCTGTAGGGGTTCATCAATTTCGCTTCCAGGAGGCCCCCGACATTTGTTGCAAATTTTGGAGCTTGGGCTTGGCTATAGTGTAATGTATAATGATGTTGATATGGTGTGGTTAGGCTATTTGGAAGGAAATCATGACGTTTACTTCTCTGATGACATGATGACATGACCGCTGTATGTATGCTAAACTTGGCGATGTCCTTATGACCTGTGTTGATTTTAAACATGGCTTAGTTTGATATTTGTTAGACCGGAGGACATGTTTTTTAACAAGTGTATCTTATTAATGTTTCTGACAGTGATGCTTGGTTTTCTGATGATCATACACTGGTGATACATTCTGCAGGTAGATCTTTACGAGCTTCCCTGACTGCATTCCCAACGAGAGGATTGTACTTGAAGAACCAGACATGGATGCAGCAAATCAAGAGAATGCACGTCACAATTCATAAGAATTAGATCACGGGTTTCGAGAAGATGATCAAGCGTTTCGGAGGTTGATGATCATGCCCTTGAGTCCCCACTACCATTAGGCAGGTTATGAAAAAATGGGAAGACCTTTTGTCATAGTTCATATGGTTCATTAGTAACTAACAATGTTCATCTCTTCAGATCAGAGGGAAGTCCAAATAAAATGGGGGTTTCCCAGACCAGATCAATCAAGTTTTTGGCTTGAGCTCAGAGCTTATGCAAGTAGAATGTGTTTTGTGTGAAGTTTGTCTCAGCTAACAATTCTGAAAACCAAAAAAGTATTTGCGTTTGCCGGGAGTCGAACCCGGGTCTATTGCTTGGAAGGCAATTATCCTAACCGTTGGACTACAAACGCCTTTATTTGAAAACTGAATTAATTAAATGTATATATATATTTGAATAAACTCAGCGGCTAAATGTCGGCCAATACTGAATGATAAAGAAAAATACTTGTACTTGGGTCCTTCACGAGACAATCATTACGAGTTATATTTTTTATTATTTAAGTTAAATTATAAGAAATTTTATTTAAATTTAGTTATAAATATTCATAATATTATGATTTATAATGTTAATTAATTTTAATTTGAACGTTTATATATATATGCATGCATCATTAATAGTTTATCTAATTAATGTAAAATAATTAATTTTATGAGTTGAATATAATAAATTAATGTAATAGTTATTTTAAATTATTTATTCAATTAATATAATAAATAGAATTACGAGTTGAATAGAGTCAAATTAATTTTTTAATATCAAATTAAGTAATGAAATTTTTAAAAAATTAATTAGATTTTGTTCACCCCTAATCATACACGCCAAAACTTGACAAAATAAGAAATAAATGAAACAATTAACAGAGAATAAACAAATAATTAAATCCCCAATAAAAATACATCACATGAAGCCAAAGACCAGACACGTTATTATCGGCTTTTACTATGTGATATATTATGGATGGTAAGTCTTTGACGTGTTCATTTTGCACATGTAATTGTATAGTGTAATGCTTAATAAAAAAACTTATTAACTATATATAAAGAAAAGAACAATAAAATTAATAAAAAAAAAGAACAATAAAAAAGGGGCCAAAACTAGATGGAATCAAAATGGTCAAGAATTAACCCAGTCCGTTTTACCATTGAACTTTGATGCACGTGACATGATAGGCTCAATGAATGTTGAGCCTGCAATCAGAGTAATTACAATTTCAGTTAAAATGACGACTACTTCGACGTTATATTACCATTTTAACATGATGGCGCATTTCGGCATGTCACCACCGTCAAGTTGTTTCTCGGATATTCCATTGCACTTAACGGTCAACCCGACCCTTCCGGTCTTTAACCACGCCACGCTCACTCCGACTCTCGTCCGAGCCTCCACGTTCACCGTTAAACTCTTGCTTCGGTACCCATTCTTGAGCTTGTTCCCTACCTCATCCACCACTAGCTTGTTACTCACCTTCGTCTCTGCTCTCAAACTCGTCATGTTCTTTTTCCACATGGTGAACTCGGGCACCGTCGTCGTTCCCAACTCGGTCTTGTCCCCTCTTTCACCGACGGTTACGTCAACCTTCGTGTCCCCGTAATAGTAACTCATCTTTCCGTTTGCGTTCCTCACTTCGAGTCTCGTCGTCGTCTTGTCATCGAGGTAGGTTCCGTCGGGTCTTTTTGTGACGTTGAAGTGGGAGATCCGGAACGATTGGACGTGGAATCGGGGTAATTTCAGGTTGAACCAGAGGTAGAAAACGGCGCCGGAAATGATGACGAGGAGGAAGATAAAAAAGAAGATGCAGAAACAGCAACAACAAGTACGAAAGTAATTAGTCTTTCTTTTCTTGAGATGGAAAGACGGCGGGAGAACCGGTTTCCGTGGCGGTGGTCTAAGTGCACGCTGATCGGCCGGAGCTTTTGGGTCTTTGTATCCGGGGGGCTTTTGGAGAACTAGTTTCACTGGGGGTTCAGACATGGCTTGGATATAGAATAACTATGATATATGGGAAGGAAGAAAGAAATGAGTTAAAGAAAACAAGAACTTGCAGGCAAATCTGGGATAATTGACGGTATCCGAACAAAGATGAACAAGAAAGAATCAAAGTTGCAAAGCATGTAGAAGAAATGGCTGCAGAGAAGAATGGGAAAGAAGGGAGATTTATCTCTTATTATAATAGGGTACGGCTAGAGGTATTTGGTGGTTTACGTAGAAACTGTGTCCCGGCCCGGGTGGGGTTCAATGGAAGCGTATGTTCTTCCATGATAAACAATGGATACGTTATTTAAAACTTACGTGAATCGAGTAGACTTTATGGTAAAAGAATTAAATAAATTGTTATTATTTTTTTAGGATATGTGTTCGAACACCATATATATTAAGAGTGTGAACGTTTAATATAAAAAAATTGAGAGTTATCTTTAAATAAATATTACCTTATATTTACCTAAATTAATAAAAAAAAGTATACAATCATAGTTAATTATATATATATATAATCTTTCTAATATAATGTGTATACAAATAACATACAATATGATTCCTTGAAAAATTCGAGGGTTTTTTTTATATGTATGTAAAGAAGGAAGAACGTCAGTTGGCTGCTAAGATGCAACCCGTGGAACAGCCATCCCGTTTGCATCCTCGTACTCTATACAGCTCAATATAGAATCAATAAAATTTAAACAAGAACATCAACTCTAGGGCCAGCCTGTCACACACTTGCAGTATTTTTAACCTTGGTCACGTCTTCAGCAGCTTCTGGAACAGCCTTGATCACTGCCGCCATTGAATTAGGCACACTTGCACCAAACTGATTGTTCTAATGACAAACTGGAAATTCTCCAGAAGATGTTGAGACAACACATCTAAGTTGCTTGGATGATGGTTCTTTTGCTGTTCCAACTGCATCTCGAACAGCAAAATGAAACAGCCGCTTAGGGGCATCAATGTTCATCAGAGAAACTGCTTCCCTCTTAATTATAGGCTGTCGCTCTTGATCAGGTTTACTCGTTTTCTTCTGAGTAGGAGGAGGAGAGGCAGATCTTCGTTTTCCAAGGTTTACTTGAAGACCAGAATTTTCTTCAAAAACCTGATCAGAGGAGGTGGTTCAGCTGCTGCATCCCTAACTAGTCCCTTCCACTCTCTGTTGTGCCGTTTCCTGGAAACCTTGCTACTCTTTCCTCTTTCAGAACCAATATCCAACTGGTGAGAGTCGGCACCACCAGTAGACTCTTTCCCCAATGCTGCTCTGCCCTGAGAAGAAACATACAGATTAAACACTTGTAAATTTTCTCTCTTAGTAAAAGATCTGCAGCAATCCGGAGACGTAGACATAATTGGTTGAACTCCGTTATTAATTTCGGGTATTATTTTTCCGCTTTTATTTCGCATTCTCACTAATCTGGTTATAGGGAAATTACTCATTCTCGTTTTATTTCCCAACAACTGATATCAGAGCTTTTGGTTGTGAATTTTATCAATTTTTTTGCGATGTTACTATTCATTACTATTCACGTAAATAGTGAATTTCATGAATAGTAAAATTTTTGTCGGCGATACGAATTTGTCGACGGAGATGTTCTAATACACTGTGGTTCGCAAGAATTGTCAGAAACGATCCAAACGAAGCTAGATTCGAGTGGGAGCGATGGCTGTAGACGAAGGGAAGGTGAAAATTGAGAAGTTCGATGGTGCGGACTTTGGCTTTTGGAAGATGTAGATTGAAGATTTTCTATACTAGAAAAATCTATATCAATCTCTCTCAGGAAAACAACCAGATGACATAAAGAATAAAAATGGGTTCTTCTCGACAGATAAGCCCTCAGAGTTATCCGACTGACGTTGTCCCGAAATGTTGCTTTCAACATAGCAAAGGAAAAGACCACGACGGGTCTTATGTCGGCTCTCTCCAGTATGTATGAGAAGCCATCGGCCTCAAACAAAGTTCTTTTGATGAGGCGATTATTCAATTTGCGGATGGCGGAAGGGCATCAGTGGCTCAACACCTAAATGAACTCAACACAATTACAACCCATTTGAGTTCCGTATAAATTGAATTCGATGATGAAGTTTGAGCTTTAATTCTCTTATTATCTCTACCAGACAGTTGGAATGCTACTGTTACAGCAGTTAGCAGCTCGTCGGGAAATAGTAAATTGAAATTCGACAATGTTCGAGATCTATTACTGAGCGAAGAAATTTGATGGAGAGAATCGGGTGAAGCATCAACCTCCTCAGTCTTGCACACAGAGTCTAGAGGGAGAACTTCATAAAGAAATTCAAATCATGGCAGATCCAAATCTAGAAGGAGAAAATCAAAAACGAGAAAGAAATATTTTACCTGTTATAACTGCGGCAAGAAGGGTCACTTTAAATAGAGATTGTCGAGCACCGAAGAAAAATATCGGCGAACAGGAATCTGCCTACGTGACAGGAGACAGGTGATACCATGATTCTAAGCGTCAACAGTCCGATTGAATCATGGATCTTGGATTCAGGGTATCTTTCCACTCTACCCCATGCCGAGAAATCATGGATAATTATGTCAGTGGTGATTTTGGAAAGGTTCATCTAGCTGATGATGAAACCTTGAAGATCGTCGGAAAATGAGACATCCGATTAAAGTTGCCAAACCAGACCACCTGGAAGCTAAAAGGTGTGAGACATATTCCAGACCTCAAAAGAAATTTAATTTCTGTTGGACAACTTGATAGAGAAGGATATAGTACAACCTTATCAGGATGTGAATGAAAGATTACCAAATGAACACTCGTCATTGCTCGTGGTAAGAAGACTGATACTCTCTATGTAACCTCAAATTTAGAGAATATCATTGCTGCAGTAGATACTGATGGAAATCAAACATATGGCACCAAAGACTTGGCCATATGAGCGAGAAAGGGATGAAGATACTTTTGTCAAAAGGGAAGTTGCCGGATCTAAAGAATGTAAATGTCATACTATGTGAAGATTACATCTTTGGCAAACAAAAGAAAGTCAGTTTTGCAAAGATTGGCAAGACACCCAAGGCTGAAAAATCAAAGTTGGTTCATACTGATGTATGGGGACCATCTCCAGTTCCATCTCTTGCAGACTCGCTATATTATGTCACCTTCATCGATGATTCTACAAGGAAGGTGTGGGTTTATTTTCTGAATAAGAAATCAGAAGTCTTTTATACCTTCAGAAAATGGAAGGCCATAGTGGAAAATGAGACTGGTTTGAAAGTCAAGCGATTGAGGTCTGACAATGGAGGAGAGTACAAAAATAGTAGATTCAGAGATTTCTATGCAAACAATGGGATCAAGATGAAGACAACAGTTCCCATGACACCGCAGTAGAATGGCGTAGCAGAGCGCATGAACAGAACTCTGAATGAACGTGCCAGAAGTACGAGGATACATGTCGGTTGCCCAAATTTCTATGGGCTGAAGCTATCAACAATGCGGCTTACCTGATCAACCGTGGGCCCTCAGTTCTCTTAGATGGTGGAATACCAGAGGAAGTTTGGAGCAAGAAAGAAATAAACATTTTACACTTAACAGTGTTTGGTTGTATTTCTTATGTACACAAATTTTGCTGAAAGAAGTAAACTTGATGCCAAGTCCAACAAATATGTCTTTGTTGGTTATGGTGGTGATGATTTCGATTACCGGTTTTGGAATTACGAAAATCGAAAGATCATCAGAAGCAGAGATGTCATTTTCAATGAAAATGTGATGTACAAAGACAGATCAACCATAGAATCAAGTAGCTCTAATATCGAAGCTGAAATTAAGGAATTTGCTGAGTTCGAGGAGATTTCTGGAAACGATGTTCAAATCATACCTGAAGCAGTTCAAGAAGAACCAGGCACACCGGAACTAAGACGCTCCTCCAGAATTCCTAAACCAACCCAACGTTATTCGAATTCTTTGCACTACTTGTTGCTGACTGACAATGGTGAACCAGAGTACTATGATGAAGCAATGCAAGTGGAGGTTTCAGTCAAGTGGGAGTCTTCCATGAAAGATGAGATGAACTCGCTTATGTAAATCAGACGTGGGAATTAGCTGAATTACCAAAAGGCAATAAAGCGCTCCACAACAAGTGGATTTACAAGATCAAAGAAGAGCATGATGGGAACAAACGCTACAAAACAAGATTGGTTGTCAAAGGTTTTCAGTAGAAAGAAGGTATTTACTACAATGAATTTTTTTCTCCAGTCGTAAAACTGTCTACAATCAGACTGATGTTGAAAATTGTAGCTGCAGAGAATTTACATTTTGAGCAATTAGATGTGAAGACAACTTTCCTTCACGGTGATTTGGACGAAGAAATCTATATGAGGAAGCCAGAAGGCTTCATAGAGGCAGACAAGAAAAACCTGGTATGCAGGTTGAAGAAGAGCTTGTATGGTTTAAAACAAGCTCCTAGACAGTGGTACAAGAAGTTCGATAGCTTCATGAGTAGCAATAGTTTTACCAGATGCCAAGCAGATCATTGTTGCTACATCAAGAGGTTCGACAACAGCTTCATTATTTTATTATTGTACGTTTATGACATGGTCGTTGTAGGCTCAGACATGCAAGAGATTATAAATTTGAAGCAAAAATTGTCGAATCAGTTTGCTATGAAGGATCTGGGCGATGCAAAGCAGATTCTTGGGATGAGGATTAAGAGTGACACAAAGTTGAGGACTTTGATGTTATCACAAGCTGAGTACATTAACAAAGTACTCTCCAGGTTGAACATATAAGATGCTAAACCAGTAAGTACACCTTTAGGTGTTTATTTTAGACTCTTCAAAGAACAGTCACCAAAGACGGAGGAAGAACGTGCATACATGGTAAAGGTGTCGTATGCCTCAGTAATTGGAAGTCTAATGTATGCCATGGTTTGTACTAGACCATATATTGCTCATGCAGTGGGAGCTGTTAGCAGGTACATGAATAATCCATGCAAGGTACACTGGGAAGCAGTCAAATGGATCCTCAGATATCTGTGGGGTACTACAAACAAAACACTTTATTTCAAAGGTGGAGATACGATACTGACAGTCTATGTAGATGATGACTTAGCCGGAAATGTTGACATCAGAAGAAGCACTACA